GTCACGACCAGGACGGATGGTGACGATTCGTGACTGGTTGTCAGTTCGCGAGAGGCTCATCATTAACCTGCGTCGTTCTTTACACTTGTGCGAATGTCTGTGGCCGCTGTTTTTTTAGAACGAGGAATATTCGCACACTTCATTCGCCTGTTTATTTCCGCTAACCCTTTTAGCGACATGACTTCCGCTGTGACGGTCGAGAAAGTCGGTGACGATTCGTGACGGGTCGTAACGACCCGGCGAACCAACACCCCTTTTGCGACCCGTTACGGACCGGGTGTATTGGACATGAGTGAAAATAGGTGATGCATTGGTGACGGGATATACATGAATGATGGCTGTACTTTGCGGGGGTATAGAGGTTCTTAGCTTTTTCTTCATTGTCGTCCCACACCGTTGTGTCAGATCTTGCAAAATTAAAACTTTGAGAGGCTATTTAACACCTAAACTGATTGGGCACAATTTTACTTCGACTGGCCGAGGGATTGAGCAAGTCTGATTCGCCTCTTGATTGCTTAATTAGTTCTCGTGTTCATTCACATTCTTCGGCTTGTGAAATTATCTAGGCTTTATTTGTTTACCATCTGATGTTTCTTCTTCTTTCGTTTGCAGTAAAACCACACGTTTGTGACACGATTTTCCTGAAATATCCGCAGTGTATTCAACGGTTTGCCGAAGTAGGGCCGTAGTGAAAATACCCAGTGCCTTTTAGAGTTGTTGCATTGTAACATACAATGTTTTATGATAATGTAACCTGAATATATGCCTTGAAACGTAATTTAGATTGAAACAAGTATGTCTACCAAGGGCGGAGAGCGAAAACGGTCAGTAAACGAAGAATTCAAAATTTGCGTAGTTTAATAACTGGATAATTTGATGAAATGTTCATCTAAGAGAAAATTAACATATCACTTACATATTCTAATCTTCTAGAAGATAGGTGTTTCTATTACAGTTCTCACCGATTTGACATGCNTTCTCGTGTTCATTCACATTCTTCGGCTTGTGAAATTAACTACTTGTACGCTTTATTTGTTTACCATCTGATGTTTCTTCTTCTTTCGTTTGCAGTAAAACCGCACGTTTGTGACACGATTTTCCTGCAATATCCGCAAAGTATTCAACGGTTTGCCGAAGAAGGGCCGTAGTGAAAATACCCAGTACATTTTAGAGTTGTTGCATTGCAACATACAATGTTTTATGATAATGTAACCTGAAAGTGTACCTTGAAACGTACTTTAGATTGAAACAAGCATGTCCACCAGGCGCGGGGAGCAAAACGGCCAGTAAAGAAGAATTCAGAATTCGTGTAGTTTAATGACTGGATAATTTGATGAAATGTTAATCTAAGAGAAAATTAAGATATCCCTTACATATTCTAATCTTCTAGAAGGTAGGTGTTTCTATTACAGTTCTCACCGATTTGACATGCTAGTGAGGAAAAAGAGTCAATTCTGCTTTTTATTGTGTCTGTCAGATACTACACGCCTTCTGATTGGTCAATTGAGCGGGACGTATTCTACAGTACGGCCCAGCAGCGGATCTAGGAGAGCCCCCCCTTAGCTGAAGGTTTGGACCCGCCTCTGCGGCCCACCAAAATTGGAAGTTGTTTTTGTCGCCAAAACTACTTGTAATTGAAGGCCAAGTTTTAACGTAAAATAAATGTATAAACATTTCCGCACTTACAGAATGTAAAACTTTGACGCGTAAGTAAATGTGTTAGCGACTTCTCAACTCCTTTTGCTTTTGACTTACGTCAGTCATTTGAAGCCGAATAACTTGCAACAGTTTCTCAGACCCTTCAGACGCACAG